CCCCCCCCCACTTTTCCTGACTCATTTTGTTTTCTTATAGAGCTGAAGGTCAAAAAAATAATTTGCATTTCTCCACTTCTTTTCCTTACCATTCAATGAGTGTTATGCTCATAGATTGAGCTTTATTACTGGATAAGGACTTTTTACCCAAAATTCCGGTGCAATAGTACGGCAAAGTGGTAGCACAGTCCTTGACTTACTAAATCTTGGGAACCTGCTCAGTGACCTTCCTGTTTCCACAGAAACACTGGACATTTCTCAGTGTATTTCAGGATGTTTTTTAACATATTCAAACATTCCTCTCTCTCTACATTACAATTAATGTAGCCACCAAGGACAGCTGTGTCAGGGAAGAGGGGAATATTGGCACAAAGTCCAATTGACAGTGGCCTGGGTCCTTCTGCTGGTTATTTACACTAAGTCACAAAGGATCAGACTGAGACATGCTTCTTGCTGACTCCCACTCTTCCTTCAGTTTAGTAATCTCCTGAACAGGAGAAGAGACCTCCTAGAATGGAGATTTCACTGAAGAAACAGGAAGTCAAACACAAGTATAGAAGTTTGGAGTCTCCTCAACCTATGAGGTGACACAGTTCTGTTAGAAAAGGAGGATGTGTGAGCACAAGCCCTTTGGAAAATCCATAGTGCCCAGGGCAAATTGATGCAGCTCTGGTGTTGTGGTACAGTTATGTGAAAGCAAATGTGAAATCTTAAAGGTGAAAGACTTTTTTCCTAATAGTTTTTTTGTCATGGGTTAGTGCTTTTTTTTAAAGTAACTGGACTATATTATGAGCATATATGTTGAATTCTTGTACCTGTTAAAAAGGAAGTACCTTTTTAAAGGCATTCTGTCAGGGCTCTGTGGTACAAATTACCCTGACCAGCCCCACCTGGGACCCCCTCCACCCCACCCACGGGCCCAGCAGCCCATTTAAGCTCAGCTCTGGGCCCTCAGCCCCTGCCTGAGCTGTGCTGTAGGAGGCTTAGGCCTGTGCCCCCTGAATCCAGCTCCTGGCTTGGCTTTGGTCCTGCCTTGTCCCCGTGGCCCAGCCCAGCAGCCTTGGGACCTGACCTGGGGGTTGGCTTCCCAGCTCGGCCTCAGACCTGTCTCGTCCTGTGGACTTGCTGTCTGGTCTGAACAGGGGGCTCGAACCTGGCTGTGGCCCTGAGCGTGGCCAGCCCTGCTCACCTTGCTCAGGCACCGAGGGACTGGGCCCTGGCTGCTAAGGCCCCTACCCCGCCAGTTGTCTTCTCCCCCTAAGGTCTCAGCTGCTTGTTGCTTGCAGAGCTGCCAACCCTCACTGCTTTCTGACATGTTCTGTGTGATGGTCTCTATGCTGAGACATGGAGGCATCCATAGCTGCTCTGAATTGTAGGCCCAGCTTGTGGCTTTTCAGAAGGGAAAACAAAAAAGAGGGAAGCAGAAATGTGTGTTTCCCCCTAGCAAAAATACTAAACATTTCTAAAACTGCACAGTGCAGTGGTGTAGGAAGATTTTGCAAGAATAGGTGTGTGGGGAGATGGCATGAGGCAAGAGTGGGCTGTTTTGTGCTGGAAGAGAAACCAATGACAGAATGGTGCTAAGAGATTGCTTAACAATCTCAAACAGGTTGTCTTGCAAGAAAAATCACACTTATTTTGTTTAAATAAAAGACAAAAAGAATACTAGAGAAAAAGATGAGAATGAAGCTGCTACCCAGTTGTGTTACTTCATTCATCCTGATAATTTCATACCATACAAGTATAAACTAATTTTACTTTTTCTGCCAAGGTTTCCTCTCTAGTTCATATGTATTGGTTGTAGTTACCAATGAAGAATGTGCCACTGGTGTTATAAATTTGTCATTATTACCTCAAGAATATTTAGTACAACTAAGTAAAGCACACAAGAACTGCAAGATGGTATAAAACACAACAGAGTGGATAAGATGGTGCCAAGTACTTAATTCTGGAAATGCCAATTATTAGTGTAGGG